AGAAGTTTGGATTTTGCTTGAAAATACCCTATTTCATTGTTCTCTCTCACATATGGCAAGAAGAGGAAGACATATAAGACAAGCTTGCCCAAAAGGGCCTATGGCGTGTTTCCATGTTTGTATATAAAGAGGAGACTTTCCAATGTCACCCTAAAGAAGACTAAAAGTTTTCCTCGATATTAAGCTTTCTAATAAGAAATAACAGTTTTAAAATAATTTTATTTGATGTTTTATTTGCTTTTATTTTTAACCAAGGTAAGCTAGCAAAATTCAGCCACCTGCATCTTCTATACACTACTCTAATAAGAAAACTCTTCAGAATTTAGAACAAACTCATGTTGCTAATACAAGCCAGACATTTAAGATATATTTCTAAGGAGGGTTTGAAACAGATATTTAAACATTTCATGATATCAGTTTAACATACTAGAAACACAAAGGCCGAAATCTGAGATTGCATTAGAGGCAATAAGCAGGAATTGGGGTCGGATTACCTGTTCATAGTGAAAACTCAAAGGTTAAGGGAGTCAGAATCTTGGGGTGAATTAACAAGGATGTAACCACAACAGTAGCACAGAAGTGCCTATTAGTGCTGGTAGCACAATAGTACAGAAGAATTTAGGAATTGCCAATCCTGACAACTCATGGTCTACTCAGCTCAGTGTTCTGTTGGCAAAGTGAACCGAGAACAAATGATAATAATCATTACAGTATGCTAGGCACTTCATATAATTATCTCACGTAATCCTCACTACAATCCTATGAGATAGCTAGTGGCATTATTTATGATCTCTGGTTTATAGATGAGGAATCTGAGACTTTGAGAGGTTAAGTGACGTACCTTTTGTAAGTGTCCGCACAGATTCCAACCAAGATAGAACATAATAACGCTTGCTGACATCAACATTGAAGTTAGGTATATAATAGCTTCTTTTAAGTAATAGCAATCGTTCATAAATTTGTCCAAATCGCTTTTGAGTTAATAAATATTAACTTTGGGATAAATGGGTTTGTTAGGGTTGGTTAAAGCAGTGCAAAGGGTTATCTGCAAGGACAGAACCAAGGACAGGTCGAAGAAGGAGGATCAGGGAAGTAGTATGTGGTCCACTTTTTATCATAAATTATGATAAAATAAGTTAATGTGTAGTCTTCTGAAGGACCCATGCAGGAACAGGGATTTTGAAAGAGACTGAAGATGGTTACTAGACAGAGGAGAGCTCAGTGAGTTTCCCCTTCCCCCATTTCTCTAATCATTTTATATGCACTTCTCGGGGTTTTCTCTAATTCAGGACTCATGCTGAGATTGGATTGAGCAGAACTGCATATTTCAATCCAGCTGCAGCTGCAAAATAGTTCAGTGTGGGGTAAATTAATATGTTTTTTAGGGTTTCTTATACAGGTCTTGATGATACCCAACATTTCATTGTCCTCCCACCCCCACCCTTCAATTTAGTTGAACTGATGTTTTCAGAAAACAGACTATGGAGATTCTCATGGCTCTTTTCTGGATCCCAATCAGGATTTTTAAAAAATTCCATATTATACTTTGATCTATTTAATCCCCAAGTTCATTGTCTTGTTCTAGGTCCTGAGTTAAAACATATCTTACATTTGCTTTATTTGCAGATTGGTGAGAACGTCCTGTACTCTAGCATGATAATCTTGATCTTTAATAGAAGAATTTGTAGCTTTGGATATATGACTGCCTTTCCTCCCTTATTCACAAGTGTTAGGTAACCACCAGTTTGTTTGGAATAGTGGTGACTATAAACTGGCATGGAATTTCAGAAGTCCCCTCTAGAGTTCTTTTGAACAGAAATTACATTTTCAGTTTGGCAGCCCTTTAATAGAGGATTCATGTTTTGTTCAAATTTCCCCTACTTTCCCCTTCTATTCCTTCTAAAATCTTTGATATATATCATCTAGTCCTGGGGATTTATCAACATTCATTTTGTGAGACTGGCTTGGATAATTCTGAGAATTGGCCATAATTTAACCAATAACTGATGTGTCATTTCAGGGATAACATCAAAGTGGTAATCACTGTAAAATATCCTCAAATATACACTAGAAGCAAAAATTCATGTAATATGTCTGATACCTATTTACCTAAAATTATTAAGGAATTTACTGATTTTTCCCCTTGATTTCCTACATTTTATGTTCTTCATTATTTTATTTATTTATTGAGGGGGCAGGGGTGTAGTGAAGAGATTAACATTTATTGAGTACCTAATGCTACAGTATTATGTACATGGAGAATAGTTAATGGCACAGAGTAACTGTTCAATAAATACATATTAAATGAATGAATAAATGCCAGGTATTGTGCTTGTCACTTTACATATGTGACCTTATTTATTCTTAAAACAATCCTATGTGAGGTATGTACTATTTTTCCCTCATCTATAAAATGGAATAATAATAATGGCTATTTTATAAGATTGTTATAGAATTGAATGACTTAATAAACACAAAGCAATTAGAACAGTTCCTGGCAAACAGTAAGCATTATTCGAATATTTTTATAATTGTGATTTTCCATTGTTACTTAGGAGGACATTAAACTAAAGAGATTTTAAGTCATTTTTCCAAGATTACACAGGGAGTTAAGGGGTTGGAACACATTTCTAAACTTCTTGTTCTCTCTTCTAAATGTTCTACCTCCTTCTGGTCTTGGTGTTCTTCTCAAAGAGCTCTACAAAATGTTATGTTGGCTGATTTTCGTGTATACCTAGCTTACTTTGTAGGCTTCCTATTTTTTTTTTTTTTTTTAGTTAGGCTATCTTTCAGTTCCTTGAACGATTATTTTCTTTCTTAAATTTGGTTGTACTTGGTCTTTTTCACTTGACAGGTATTCTGATCCTCAGATCATATTTTCCCTGTAGTCCAATAAGTTGTTTTAAATAATGGCAACAATTTTCACTAGCTAATTATTACAATATTTCCTTTCCTAATATTTTCTCTTTTTAAAAAAATTTTTTGGCAGCTGGCTGTTATGGGGAGCTAAACCCTTGACCTTGGTGTTATCAACACTGTGCTCTAACCATCTGAGCTAACTAGCCAGCCCTCTAATCTTTTCTCTAAATAATGAATTTAGTTTCCCTTGTCACCCCTCTTAATTCTGGAAGTTATTAACTAATACTTGATTTGATTTGAGATGTAAGGAAGATGAGGTATAAGGTACAACATTCCTTTCTGACACCAGTGTGTTTCAATAACTTATTTTCACTTGCTAATTCACTGTACAGAGTCTGAGTCTCAGTTTTGTTCCTTTTCTGGGTCATGCATATGGGCGAATATAATTTCTCAAAACATAATTATTTTAATTATCTAGTATTGCCACAAAGCAATTTAGACAAAAGGTAATTCTTTCCAGTACTTTTTCCCAAAGTAGAATCCAAGGAAGATAAACTTTTGTGAAGTGGAGATTTCTCTAAGAAAATGAAATTGCTGGGCTGGACCCATGACTCACTTGGGAGAGTGCGGCACTATGAGCGCAGCGACGCTAGGAGCGCCAAGGCCGTGGGTTCGGGTCCTATATAGGGATGGCCGGTGTGCTCACTGGCTGAGCGCAGTGCGGGTGACACCAAGCCAAGGGTTGTGATCCCCTTACTGGTCACAAAAAAAAAAAAAAAAAAGAAAAGAAAAGAAAATGAAATTGTTGACACATTGCTCAATTTCAAATAGATGTAAAAGAAATACATAGGATATTCAAATTACTGAAAACTGAATATGCCCAAGCATTGATAGTTTTTTTTCAGTAACTTTACTGAGTATCAGTGAAAAAGATTAGAATGACTCTGATTGAGAGTATAGAGGGTAGAGGGTAAAGAGGTGGCAGTGGCCTAAATGGTTGGGTGATAAACCTGACTAGGTAGGTGGGGTCAGGTTATGGAGGCCTCTTCTCTTTGTTCTCTACATTTAAAGTATCTTCAGGTTCTAAGAACGAACTTCTAAAATCCAAGATTGATTGGCTTTATATATCCAGTGATAAATCTTCAGAATTCCATCTAAAACCAAAACTTGTATTTCAAAAATAACCTTTGAGATTGTTTGATGATCAAAGAAAGTGTTTTTCATCAGCCAATACTGACACGATGACAAGAAACTACAGACATTTTGGAGATTTTGGCACAACTTCAAAGAGTGATAGAACAGAATGCAGAGAACGCTTCCAAGTTTTGGAAGGCAGCAGTCTGGCTGAGACCCACACACCCTGAAACGAAGCTTCCTTGAAAACATTTAAAGTCTTTTCTTATTTTGGAATTCTAAAAGATGGCAAAATTCATGTATGCTAAAATGCAATACTTCATCAAATTTCCTCCCCAAATGACTCTCCAGCTTTCCCCTCTGTGTTAACACTGGTAAAGGATTCCTAAGGCATTTGCACTAAGCTTCTCAGTAAGCTGCCTCAGAGCCCTCTCAAGGCTATTTCTATATATTACGAAACAAGTAAATCCCTTTAATCCTTACCTCATATGTATGTTTTGTTTTGCAGAACGAAAACGGTGAAGCAACTTAGAGATTTGGGGACATACCGCCCAAATGATCTATAGTTACTCTGGTGTCGCTTCGCAAGATTTTGGTACCCAAAGCAGAAGAACCGGGATTCAGCATCCTTCCTCCAATCACACATTTCTTAAAGCAAGCGTTCTGCACTTCCGAACATCATCTCTTCTCTATCCAGAGCCTCCTCGCAGCCCGCCCCCTGGTTCCTTCCCACCCTCTACCTCGCCCCCCCCC